TGAAAAGCAAACAATGTATCACTACTATTGACTAGGGAAAGTTTTTTCCAGTTTAAGTTTGAAATAAATCTGCTAAACGTAATTTTTCACCTTTTCTGCCTTTTGTTTTCTGAGGGAGAGAGAGCAAAAGAGCCCAATATCAGGATTTGTGTGAGTTTGTAAGATAAGTGTGTGCCATACTGCCATTTAATTTAAAATTAGTTGGTTTTATATTAATGGTCAATCAAATAGTATAACTATTTCTAATACATTTTATTATTAAAATAAGGTTAGGAACTGATACTAGTGAGTGCCCTAGCATGTTTGGTGGAACTTAAGGATTAAATCGGTAAGTATTAACAGAATTAACAGATGAGCTTTTTGTAAACCTGTCTCTTTTCAAGCATAAAACTGAATTACACTAGGTCCTCACTGACCCTTCCCTTCTTCCTGTGCTGCCCCAAAATAAGTATGATTAAGCCAGTGTCTGACCAAGACAGGTAAAGATTTATGGAGTAATGAACTGGGAGAAAAGGGCTTTCTTCTACCATTAGTGCTGACTTCTGCAGTGTACTTACATGTTACATTCATGGCAGACTGACTCTCTGCTCACGTGAGAGCATATTTTACTCAGGCAGAGTTTATCCTGCTAGCTGTCTTCTGAGGAATATTTTACATGTTATGCAGACTTCCATTTATGTTTTTTAAATGGAAAAAAAAGACATATTAAGAGCTTCTTGCATTGCAGTGCACCTATTTAAATATGAGAACGTGGTGTTCATTCTGTGCCAGTTACTATTTAAAGTCCTGTCTCTTTTTCAGTTATTTCTGTTTGAACTTCTGTAAGTTTTTATTAATTGTGAGGCTTTTAGGTTGGAATTTAAGTGGCTTGTATTGTTGTACCTCAAACTTTCTTTTTGAATTATCATCTTTGCTTCAGAGCTGTTCCTTTTTAATCCTTCAATTATTGAATAGAATGTAAAATAAACTAATACTTACAGACTCTAATTCAGAATAGTCAAAATATTGAATTTCTGTAAAACAATGCAGAAATGGAACTCATATATAATAGGCTGCAATATATAAAAAGAAAATGATTAAACCACATCTCACTTATCATAGATCTTTTTAATAGGAGCAAAATCTGTGCCATTAGTTCCAGACCAGTGTATTTCCCATTCACAATGCTTTAGTGCATAACTTATAAATCTGTCCTCATCATCCTATATTACTTTTTCAAAGCAAGACTAACATCAAGCAAGACAGGATGAATGAAAGTCAATGAAGGTCGACTAGACAATCCAATTATTAAAGATTCTTGGAAGAACAGTACTGTGATCTATAAAAGAACTGGGTGTGAATTTCTGTATCTTTGTTGACAAGGGTCATTTCTGTAGGACTGCAGTATATTTTGTACGGTAACCTGTTTTTAGATTACACTAATTGATATTTGTATAGTGCATCTGAATGTCAGTTGTTTATACGCTAAAATACTTGTTAGTTTGCAGAAGTGATATTTAAAATACATGCACCTGTTCTATCTCCTGAGTGGTAAAAAGGCCTGTGAGGAAAATCTAACATATAGTTCCATATTGCAGTGTTAAGATTGCATAATCATTGCATACATGCCATTGCTAATTTTCCATGCATTTTTTTCATAAGTCACTTACCTTTCATTCATTCTGCAGAACAGGACATCTCTTGGGAGCACAGAACACATCTGTACAATAAAAGAGGTTACTATTTCTGGCACCTACTTACAGTAGAAATACTGAGCTGGCCTGCATATTTGACTTCAAATATAAAAGTTCAAGTATGAATATCAGCCATCTGCGCTAGACACTGCGCATGATAAAATAAAATAAAGTCTAATTAAGCAGAATAGTAGTTGTTTTCAGTCTTAGAAACTTAGTTGAGCTTTAAATTTAGCTTTGTTGCTTCTATTTCAAATCTGTCTGAAACTTACCTAATATTTTTGTCCCTTATACAAATAGGTCTAATGAAAAATGAAAAACCTTGTTTTATTATGTTTTTTAGAGCTGTATATAAATAAGGTCAGACAGGACTCAGTTATCAGTTATTCTAACTGAAGACTAGGTAATTGTACTTAGCTGCAATGCTATGCATATGTTTATAGATAAATTCCAAACTATTACATTCTTACTCTCCTCCACCCCTGCACAAAGGAACAAGAAGACCTAATATAAATTTTATTTTTTACTCTTTCATCAGATACTTGGTTTACAGGTGTTTTGATCTTGTATTTCTATATATAGTGTCTTATATTCATTTTATGAGAAGCCATTATTGTGAAATTACAAGTATGTATGTGTATGTAGAAGTACATATGTATAGCTTCCTTCCAAACTAATACAATCACAGGAGAGTGTGATCATGTGTATAAGAGTAGCTAACCAAACAGAATATCAAGTGGCCTTCATTACAGGCTGTCTGGGCGGGAATCACATTATTAAAATATCAATTGCTATAAATGACATAGAGTCTGAAAAAGAAGTAATACATTCCTAGACACCGGTATAGAAAAGAATGCTGACTGTGAGATTACAGTGCTGACGAGAAAATTTTTTAAATTTTTCCCAGTAAAAATTGGGAAGCTTCTGCAGATGGTGGAGTTTTGTTGGCTGACAGCAAAGGGTGGGATCTATTACTGAACTAAGCGTGAAGACAGGAACAGGTTCAATGCACTGCTATTGTATTTATAAGTCAAGATTTAAGAACAGAAATTGCTGTTTGCAGTAGCAAAATGCCTGTCTAAAGTGGTGTTTCTACCATAGTAATTGTAAAGCATATTCAGATAATGTCACACTACTTTTGACAGATTGTAAGTAATTTTTCTAAACCTGGAAAATCAAGAGGTTTGCATGGCATACAGAGGTAATGAAGAATCTTTTTCTGACTAGATAGGTGCTGCATATCCAACTGAAGCTCACTGCTAATCTGTAAACTATTTAATATATACTCATAATCTACTCTTACTAACTTTTACCGAAACTATTTTTTTACAACTTGTGTTCAGAATGCAGAAAATTCCATAGTATGAACAGAAGATATTTTTAACACATAGTAATTTTATTTTTATTCAAAACATCTTTTTTTTTTTTTTAAGTCTTCATGCACACACATCAGCTATATGTAAGAAATCATTTGCATTTTAAAGTTTTAAGCTCTGTAATGAATTTGTGAAGTTAGGCATTTATGCTATAGATTTTTATTAGTACATTTCCTTGTTAGTTAGGGCAAACCTGTCTGCAACAGGGAATTGTACTGCAATCCTCTGTCGAGAGAAGAGGGCAAGTTCATAATAGGGTCCTTCTCTTAGATCATTAGCTGAAACTGAGAGTTTAGTTTATCGTCTACAGAGAAGATAAACTTCCCACACGTCCCCCATACCAACATAATTTGTGTGGCTGTCCTGAGATGAGAGGAATGTAAAAAAATAAAAATATAAGATAGTGTCAGATCAAAATCAAAGAAGACATTTCTTACTACTCTGGGGTTTTTTTTTGCTCAGGTAGGCAAGACCTGAGACATGGGTCTACGCAGATACAACACGTTCACTACCCAATTTGTGATTTGAGTCTGTTTAGCTGACACTTTTTTCCTTCCTTTTGGCCTGTTTTCATTTTCATGGGTTTCTAAATACACAATCCCCAATGGCTTGCCTTTTACTTTTATTTTGCAGATATGCCACAATAAAAAATCTTTGTTCACTGAGAAACCGTTACTTTGAGAAAGCTGCATTAGACCTATGACTGTATTCAGTAATCCTAAACCCATACAGGTTATACATGGTGTTGTACCTATAATCTTGTTGGCCTCCCTTATCTCTGGGCTGTCTTTTCAGAATTTGTTTTGCCAGAGCCTTCACCAAGGTCACCATATGCTGCCAGTGCACAGTTAAGTGACATGTTAGGCAAGCTGGAACTGTGGGTAAAGGTGATCCACAGCACAGCAGGAATAATGTTCCTATGTATGTGCTTACCTGAGGCTCAGTTGTGGACTAGCTATTTCAAAACTCGTTTTGCTTCTGAGTTCAGTGATAACAAGAAAACATTCTTTCAAACACAGAACATCCTTGGCATTGAGGACTTATGATTCCAGACGTAGCGAGACATTCTTGAGCAGTTTGGCCGGAAAATGCAGGCTTTGTCCCAAAATCAGTGCAGAGTTTTTCATTACTGTCATTTGCACTGGGAATATATACTTCTCAGGAAAAAAACCCAAACCTGTTTAAAGATATGCAAGTGTCTTAAGTATACCTGTGTCAATATGATATTCTTTACAAAGTTCACAAAATGTTGTCCTTTTGAATATTTCATTTACATACAAAGCATTAAGTTCACGCAATCCATTGCATAAACTTAATGCTTTTAATAAACTAGGTAGTATCTCCATTCATCTGATACCTAACAAAATGGCATATTACCATGAGATACAAGTCTGATGTGGGAAAGAGATGTAGTATTATCTTCAAGTTAAAATAATCAATTGCATTGTTTTAGTAAAAAATGCTTAGAAAAGGAATATAAACTTAAGATACCACACAATTCAAATTCTATGCAGAGTCAGTGATGGCTATAGCATGAGTCTGCAGGACGGCAATAACATAGATTTGTTAGTATTTTCATGCTTGTATGTAGTTTATAAGAACAGTGGATAGAATGGTCTCTTGGCTTATTCACTGCTAAACAGGATAACAATAACACTTGAATTTGTGACCACCATTCTCTCTTTTCTTCTGTTTCGTCTCCTCCTCCAAGAATATGATTGCCCTCTGCCAAAGATTGTTTTCCTTCCTTTTCATGCACATACATATATGTGTGTCTACACCCAATATTTTCTCTCAAACTCTTGAAATAAATAATAGTAGTAGTGATGATAATAATAATAATAAAAGTATTAATGAGCAGCTTGCCACTGTTACAGAGAAACTGGTTGGACTGTATTAAGAATGTGCTCATATCACCTATTCAACTATTAACTGTATATCTTTTCTGTAGGTGACGGATCAGTCAGTGAAAGCTTTTGCTGAACATTGTCCTGAGCTGCAGTATGTTGGCTTTATGGGCTGCTCTGTTACATCGAAAGGAGTCATTCACCTCACCAATGTAAGTATCGTAACTACTTTTAGCTACTCGTTAGTGTGTTTGACTATTGCTAAACTATTTGTATCAGCCAGGGTAAGTTTATACATATGATGAATAACACTCTTGTGGGTAAAAACATGACAAGATAAATGAACTTTGCATTATTTGGACAGGCACATTCGGGTTTCCCTGTGTAAAAACACTGTAGCAAAAGCATATTCAAGGAGTGATACTTTTTCTCAGAAATAATAATGCTGCTCAGGTCAGTAGTCTTTAAAACGCCTAGTTGCACCAGATTCCATTGCAAAAAAACCAAAATTCCATAACTGCAAGTGCAAAATTCTCAGTGCAAGAGATTTAGACAGACCCCTTACTGCAACAGTGTATACCCTATGCACATCCATTTGTATTTTAACATAGGTGGTGTGACAGATACTTTTTATTTCCTTTCCTTTTTTCTTTTATTTAAGAGAGTGAACTGTGGGAGAAATAACTTAAGTGAACCTGCAGAAATTAACGGAAGCATTCAATAAAATGAATTATTTGGATGAGGTGGACAAACAGCGTATTAATTGAAATTCTGTGGTGGCTTGACACTGGCTGGATGCCAGGGGCCCACCAAAGCCACTCTATGACTCCCCTCTTTAACTGGACAGAGGAGAGAATCACAGAATCTCAAGGGTTAGAAGGGACCTCAGGAGATCATCTAGTCCAACCCTCCTGCTAAAGCAGGTTCTCCTAGAGCATGTTACACAGGACTTCATCCAGGCGGGCTTTGAATATCTCCAGAGAAGGAGACTCCACAAACCCCCTAGGCAGCCTGTTCCAGTGCTCTGTCACCCTCAAAGTAAAGAAGTTTTTCCTCATATTCAACTGAAACCTCTTGTGTTTCAGTTTGTACCCATTGCCCCTTGTCCTGTTGCTGGACACCACTGCAAAGAGTCTGGCTCCATCCTCGTGACATGCACCCTTAAGATATTTGTATGTGTTGGTGAGGTCCCCTCTCAGTCTTCTCTTCTTCAGGCTGAACAAGCCCAACTCTCTCAGCCTTTCCTCATAGGGGAGATGCTCCAGTCCCTTTATCATCCTAGTTGCTCTCCTCTGGACTCTTTCTAGGAGTTCCTCATCTTTCTTGAACTGGGGAGCCCAGAACTGGACACAGTACTCCAGGTGGGGTCTCACCAGGGCAGAGTAGAG